AATCTGAAGCTCTGTAGGCTTCAGAAATGGCCTCACACAGCCAGTGTGACAGGCGCTGGGTGGATAACGGGCGACCTGCAGATGCATCTCTATAATGCACAAACAAATATTGAGTCTGACGCATTGCAGCCGTGCGTGCTATGTAGCACGTCAACGCCCGCACCGGACAGAGAAGATGGAAAGATCTTCTTCTTCTGATTTGTGGGGGGGAGGGAAAAAATCCTCCAACGATATCGCTCTTGATTTAAAAGAGCTCGTGATGTTTTTAGGCATGAACGCTGGGTTAGGTCTCAGATCAGCTGAGCTGCTGTCAGCCTGAATTCTGAGACATGACGGAGCGGCAGAGAGGGCAGCTAAATCCCTCACCCTCTTAGCAGATGTTAAAACCAGCAGCAGGGCTGTTTTAAGAGACAAGAATTTAAGTGGAACCTGATTCAGTGGCTCAAATGGAGATTTGATCAGGGCTCGCAGGACTAGCGTTAAATTCCACTGTGGAGCAAGTTTGCGTGAAACAGGCCTGCGTCTCTGTACACCTTTTAAAAAACGCTTCATCAGCGGATGATTAAAAGCTGTTCTGTCCCTGAAACCTCAGTGACAAGAAGAGATGGCTACAGCGTACGTTTTAATCATGCTGAATGCCAGATTTCTGTCCAACAGCTGCTGCAGAAAGGACAGCATGCCACCTAGTGGACATGAAGTGGCCTCTACACCTTTCTCTGTACACCAGCACTGAAAAGCTGTCCACTTTGATGTGTACAGCGCTGTGGTGGATGCAGCACGTGAATCCTGGATTGTGTGCACTACATCTTGAGAGAGACCCATCTTCTCTAAGCGGATCCGCTCAGCGGCCAGACCCAAAGGTGCTGGCCTATTTCTGGGTAACTCCCGATCGCTCCTCCCGCCTGGAGGAGTGCATCCTCCCTCCACGGCAGTTTCCATGGGCGTCCCGATAACAGGCGTTGTAGAACCGGGAACCATGGTGCATTCACGTGCTCGGGAGCCACCAGGAGAGCTGTCAATCCCTCCTCCTGAACTCGGTTCAGAAACCGTAATATCAGAGGGATTGGGGGGAACGCGTAAAGAAGCATTTTGGGCCACAGGCTGTGAGCAAACGTGTCCACCCCTAGCAGTGGTTCGTCCCGCGGGCTCAGTGAGAACCATAGTTGACACTGAGCGTTCTCTTGTGTTACAACAGGTCCACAGCCGCTTTGCTAAATTCCTGCCACATCTGAGCAATCAGCTCTGGATGGGGGGTCCGGTCCCCGTGACACGGACCGTCCCTGGACATCACATCTGTCCCCTGTTCAGAACACTGGGGATGTACACTGCTCTGATGGAGAGCAGATTTTGGTGTGCCCAACACAGCATCTGTCTCACAATGTGGAACATTTGGGCTGAGCGTGCACCCCCTACTGCCAGTTATGTATGCAGCAGTCACTTGCTGTCTGTGTGAGTCAACACATGATGATTCTGCAGCACAGAGGCAAAGTGTTGAATCACATTCAAAACCCCTGACACTCCAAGAACATTTATATGAGTTGCTGTGTGGGGTGGCCACAGCGCCCCCACAGCTCAAGAAATGCATGTGCCTCTGTGAAGTCTGACACGTGTGACGTAAGTCTGCTGACGGAAACAGCTGTTATCACTCTGCCGATTTCACGTGAGTTGCACTGCTGCCACCTGTCTGGAAAAGCAGGTCAGCATCAACAGATGTCCAGATAAAGCAGAATTCTCCTCCCTGCTCTGTGTGGTGGCTGCAGAGCGACTCAACGCATTTTAAATGGAAATGTTGTCTCACAGTTCAAAATTTACAAATCTAATATGAATCTTATCTTTCTGGTCCGTTTGGGACCAGGAAGTGACGAGAGTGGAACCTTGTGTTTTCCTCTCCTTCTGGGACCCTGGAAATTACATTTTAATCAGAATTTCCTGAGCTTCTGCGAGGGGGAACGAGATCTGTTCTAGAGATGACAGAAAACGTCTCTAGAGTTCCTCCGAATGGGGGTTTGAGCTGTACTGCAGCGTGAATCCCCCGCTGATAACGGTTCATCCATCTATCTGGAGCACACGCTCGCTGCCACTACGCGTAACGTTCGGGAAGAGGGCACGCGTTTATGCTGCGTCACGTTATTTACGGACGCCAATCACTGCCGTCATGTGTGCCTCACTCAGGCTGCGGGCTCACATCCGTGTTGATGTGAGCTGGCGTGCGCTGGGGGAAGGTGCATGCGCCCCGAGCATGCAGAACTGGTTTAGGACTGCCGCGGGTGCGCAGCATTCCTATGCCGCACACAGGCTGTGGGCTCACATCCATGCTGATGTGAGCTGACATGCGCTGAGGGAAAGTGGGAAGGTCGGGACCTCTGGAAATTACCTCTTTTACCAGAAGTTCCTGGACTTCTGCATTTAGGGATGAGACCTGGTCTGGTGATGACAGAACCATCTCTAAAACTCTTCCGAACAGAGGGGGGTTGAGCTGCAAATTGTAGCGTATAGCCCCTGCTGATCAGCCTGCTCATCCATCTGTCTAGAGAGCACGTCCGCTGCCACTCCACGTAGCGTTCGTGGAGTGGGCGCACGTTTATGTGGTGTGTCATTTTTCTTACGGACATCAGCCAGTTTACAGTCTCGACCGCCGTCATGCGTCGCGGAAGTATGCTTCGCGTGACCCAAGGCGAGACTTTCTCGAAAGGGCTCCGAGCGTGCTGTGCCGCGCTCAGGCTGCGGGTTCACATTCATGTCGATGTGAACCAGCGTGTGTTGAAGAGAGGTGTGCGCGCCTTCATCAACGCGGCGCTGTTTGGGTGAAAGCTTCCGGCGCTGCAGGAGCGCGCATTTGACACCACTGCGGTGAAAAGCGCGCAGCTCTTGCTGAGCGAGGTTTCCCACTGGACTCGTTCTGCGGTCTCACATTCATGCTGATGGGAGCCGGAGTGCTGGGGAGAGGTGTGCGCGCCTTCATCAACGCAGCGCCGTTTGAGTGAAGGCTGCCAGTGTCGCGGGAGTGCGCGTTTAACACCGCTGCGGTGAAAAGCGTGCAGCTCGGACTGAGAGCGAGTTATCCCACTGGACTCGTTCTGCGGACCACATTCACATCGACTGCTTTGTCATGCGAGCGTCTGGTGTTTATCTTTTAGCTGCGGTGATTTTGAAAAAACTGTTTTAAGACACCAGCTCATTTTGTGTGGAGGATGTGCGAAGAGAAGCCACTGTGAGATCATTCAAACTGACAGACAGGCTGAATCAGACACTTTAATCTTTGAATGATGTTCGTGTTTTATTTCAAAAACTCCTGTCATCATTGCACACACACATCCCCCGCAAGGCGTCATTCCTGAATCTTCTCCCCCGTGAGCCCTGCGGTTTGTTGTCACAGGGCGCCGCCTGTTGGCGATCTCTGGAAAACGCTGAACTGTCCGTTGCCAGGATGAGAAGGGCTGTTCTCTGTCGGGCGGGGCAGGCGTCGGAGCGGAGCGGGAGGACGTTGCTGCAGCTGTGGAACGTCTCCGTTTGCTGCCTTTAGCCATGATGAGCCTTCCAGCGGGCTGGGGGGCGGGATGAGGCGTGCGGCTTGGTCAGATGGCACACAGTCTCCAATACCTCCTTTGGCTTTTTCGATTTCTCGAGCATGTCCTTGAAAATTAGCTCTGAACAGCACGTCCGCTTCTCCAACAGGGAGGGGGGACAGCAGATGAGGCACCCGGGTTGAGGGTGACGTCAGACGCCCTGCAGAGGGAGCTCTTGTCTCCTCAGGCGGGTCTGTCCCTCCGGACTCTGAGATGCTGTACGTCAGCGGCGCAACGTATTGTTCGCTGCGGCCGCCTGGAACGCATACTGGTGAGCTCGGTTGGAGAGCAACCTCACCGTCTGGTCATGCCTCCCCGGAGACGCAGGACGCTGGTCCAACCTGGACATCTTTGCTCCGAGAGCCTCCGCCAAGCTTGGTTCCAGGGGGGTACCGAGGGAATTTCCGCTCGGTAAAACCCCTCCACTCTGATGATGGGCACGAATGTGGAAACTGGTGCTCTCAGTCTACCAGGTCCGGCTGCAGCCTCGTTCCAGTAGGACGTCACTGCTGGGAAAACAAGGCCAGATGGGATCAGGACGGCAAGCTGGGGTGGAGCCAAGAAACCTTCCTGCTAGATCATCCGTTCTGGGCGGGGGAAGGAGAGGGACGGAAAAAAGTCCCTTCATGTCAGCCGCCTCCTGGATTATGTCGGGCAGCTCCAGAGGAGGGCACAGACGGCTGGGAGCGGTGTGGTCGCTGATGCGAAAAAGGTCCGGGGGGGAGCATTCGCTCAGCCCCCCCTCGTTCCGACACTACGCTCTCCAGGAGGGAGTGAGCAGCGGGGGCTGCTGCTGACGTCGCCTGTCCCAGAGGAACCATCCGATTCGCTCCGAGAGTCGGCGATAAAAGGAAAAATAAAAGATGGCGTCGTCCAGCGTGTAGCGACCTGTCACTGAGAAATATTCCTACCTTGAAACAAGACTGCTCATCTGCTTCTCCTCGGGGAGGAGAACTCACCAGGACGGCAGGAGGTTGGCGTGGCGGGGCCACAGGCAGCCTTAACAAAGGTTGAGCTGGTCAAGCTGGACAACTTCCCTTCTTCGTTCTTCTGACAGTGCTATTAGCTTGCTGAAGAAAAATGGGGAGCCGATTACCCGCTCGTAACGTAATTTATACGAACCGGGTGAGGCCCACACAACAGGTGGGCGTGGACTAAATTTTTCAGTGCAATGCTTTGCATGACGGGATAAAACCCACCAGCGACAGCCTTAAAGGGCGAAGCCTATACGAAATAGAACATTAAGGTTCAGTTCCAGTCCAGAAAAACACTCATGTTGAAAATGACAAACATTCACTATTCAAATCCTTCAGAGACAGGAGGCATCGGCGTACCGCTTGTCTAACTTATATTTTAAGTGGTGAGTGGGTAACAAAGCAGCCAGAACCTTCTACTATATTCTGATTCTGGCTCCAGAACAAAATCCTCACTTACCCTTCCTTGAGAACGACAGCATCCTCCAGTCCGCTGGATTCCTTGTTGACATTTGATGAGATTTCATCAAGAAACTGGAAACCCAAGGAAAAAAACAACACTATTCAACACAAACAGTGAAATACTTTGGGCAATAGAGAATGTTTTGAAAAAAAAAAAAAAAAAAAAAATATATATACATATATATATATATATGTGTGTGTGTGTGTGTGTAAATACCTTTTTAACTTTTTCAATGCACTTTTCCTCCTGGAATGATCTGAAGAAGTCGTACATGTAGCTTTCTTTAAAACTAGACTAGAGAGAGAGAAGGAACAAGTTTGACTATTTCATAACGTTGAAGGAAAACAGAGAGGACATTTTTATTCATTAGTTCAGGCATCTATCTGTAATTACCTAAACAGAGTTTAATATCTTCTCAGAATGAGTTTGTACCTTACCAGTTTTTTGGACAAACTACCCCAGCTGCCCAGAGTCTGGATGGTTTTGGAGATGAGGGTGAGCGTGCGGGAAATCTCAGGATCCTGCGATCACAGAGAACACAAAGATGTCTGTGACAGATCACTGGTGAATTTGGACACAGTTTGTGTTTGCAGAGGCACAAACTTACAGGGTGATGGGAGCGGAGCTGGAAGGAGTGTGGAGAAAGAACAGCCACTGCAAAAAATCGCAGGAACACAAAGCTGCTCACAGCCGAGTACTGAACATGTGGATCACCTGCAGAGAGAGAAACAGCTTTAATCAAAGAGCGCAGCTTTAGTAAAATACGTCACACAATCTGTTATAAAAGTACGTGTTTTTAATGACTTTCAGCTACAAACGCACCGGGTTTTAACTTAATGTCTGTAAAACTGACGGAGTTATAGACATGTTTGTGTTGGTTGAGTTTGATGAGCTGTGGTAGCCAAGTTAACTTCTGAAGTTAATCAGTTGTAGATGCACAATTGATGATTACTGTCTAAGAGTCTTGTTCAAATCTGTTCCCTGGTTCATGAGATATTTTGCTAACTGACAGCCATACAAAAGCACACAGTTCCTTAATGACATAAAACTCTAAATCTAAAACTTTGGCTCCACCTTTTGGTGAACATGTCTAAAAACACTTAAAGCTTGTCTAATGTTATAACACGCATTTGGCACATAATAATAAACTCTTATTATTTTTACTGAAGGCAAAACAAACTGAACAGAAGGAGCTACAGAATAATCTCTGTTAACACTTATCTGTGTAACTTTATTGTTTCTGAGTGGGTGAATGTGACAGAACACTAAGCTCCACAGAAAAGTGTCAATTTAAAATGAAAAAGAAAAGAATACATACATATATAGAGGTGCAAGTCATAAAATTAGAATATCATGAAAAAGTTGATTTATTTCAGTAATTCCATTCAAAAAGTGAAACGTGTATATTATATTCATTCATTACACACACACTGATATATTTCAAATGTTTATTTTAATGTTGATGATTATAACTGACAACTAATGAAAACCCCAAATTCAGTATCTCAGAAAATTAGAATATTGTGAAAAGGTTCAATATTGAAGAAACCTGGTGCCACACTCTAGTCAGCTAATTAACTAAAAAAAACTTGCACAGGCCTTTAAATGGTCTCAGTCTAGTTCTGTAGCTACACAATCATGGGGAAGACTGATGACTTGACAGATGTCCAAAAGACGACCACTGACACCTTGCACAAGGAGGACAAGACACAAAAGGTCATTGCTAAAGAGGCTGGCTGTTCATAGAGCTCTGTGTCCAAGCACATTAATAGAGAAGTGCAGGGAAAGAAACGATGTGGTAGAAAAAAGTGCACAAGCAATAGAGATAACCACATCCTGGAGAGGATGGTGAAACAAAA